CCCCAAAACCCCAAAACCCCAAAACCCCAAAACCCCAAAACCCCAACACATTATGTTAATGTTGAAAATAAGCAAGTTATGCAAAAAATGTCGAATCTGTTGTTCGACACAATTTTTAAACGGTTTTTGAGCTTTAGACTTCAAGTGGTGTCAATAGTTCAAAGAAAGAAAATAAATGCTGTTGTTTTTAATGGAGGATTATGCTAAAACTCTTTGTTGAGTTAATACAGTTACCTCATCTTGGATAATATCGCTTTAGCCTGTTCTATTTTATACCCTAGCAGTGATAGTTTAATGGCCTGATCTTATCATGCAGCTATTTAAGGACACAGAAGCTACGGTTAGAAGTTTACTTTAATAATTCTTACTCAATTTTATCAATAGGGGAAATAGTAAGTAAAGAAATTTAGAACGTAATTATTGCGGAAATTTCTACCATGATGCATAAATAAGTGCACAACTTAACTCACAAGTTGCTCATAGGGGTTTTAGAGAAAGTTAAACCACACATCGGCGCTATTTAGCATCCCTCATGACCCTGATTATATACAATACCTAACTAACAGGCAACTGTAGGCCTTCAAAAATTGGATAAATATACTATAAAATTAGTCATCCCCGTACCAACACGATACGTCACTGGAATATTATGAAAGTACTACAAATATAATGATAAAGCGTATCGAATTGATAGAACTCTTTATAAAGGATGGTTTAACCAAAAATATGGGGTTAAAAACAATTATTTCAAAAATATTTAAGCCATCTTGCCCTCTGCATCCACTCTAGAGTTCAAAATCTCTGTTTGATGAGTCATAATTTGCGAGAATATTTGTCTTCATAGCTTCTAGTTCGCAATCTGAAACTATCTTTGATAAGTCCATGTTTCATTTCTTTTTGGCATTTCTGGGAGAGGTGAGGTCTCCAAAGATATCAATGGCAAATATATCAGAGAGTACTCTCTTCTTGAGATCCTTGCCAGATTCCTGATCGTTAAGGGCTGGAATTCTTCCGCTGAAAAAGGAAGGTTTAGCTCTTTCAGACTCATTAATCAAATTACACCTTTTATTAATACTACCTCTTCTTCCAGTATTATTTTTCTTTCAGGGAACTCTCCTAGACAAATTCTTCTTCTTAGATGTGAGTCTCGAAGTGAGTTTCATCTGAGTAGGGAGCAAACCTTCGTACTTATTTCTTCTTAAGAGTGTATCGATCATACCCATTGGAGAGATAGATCTAAATTTATTCCTGATGTTCATCATTTTAGTTTTCTTTAAACAATTCAGCCTTTTGTTAAAAATTGCTCTTATGTGATGAGATCCATCTATAAAAAGAGTTAGGACCAGTTTTATGGGAGACTAGTTCTTGAAGAGCTAGGCTTCGGAAAACATCACTCACTTTTTAGGTTTGGTGGGGATCCATTTCATGCATTTTTCTGTGATATTCTCGAAGAGACTGCAAACTTTTTAAAATTTCTCAGAGGGGTAGGACTAGCAATGCCTCTTCCTGGAAGACCTTCGGTCTCTTCATGGTTGGACGAGCTATTGCTATACTTGCCTATCCTTGTTTCAGAGAATATGTTCTTTCTCTTTTTGTTCAACTTAGGTCTCAAGTTGATAGATTTTTGCTTTAAACCTCCTTTCATTTTCCTTGCCTAAAACAACGGATTAGTCTCAATTTTTAGGATAATAATCAACTTTGGAAGGACTGGTGCCTTGTTTCTAAGACTTAAAGACTTTCAAAGAATTTTAATAGTACTTCATAAAAATTGGTAAATCTCATATTTATTTGGAAATCAGATTTGAGCTAGAAACTCCTTAATTTATGATTCTTCTAGAATTTAAGAAGAGTGTTTAACACCAAACAGCTGTAGGATAATCAGAACTAAATAGAAATAGGTAAAAGAGAGTTTTAGATATTTTTACCTCCTAATGACTTGTTTGGCAGAATTAGATGCAGATTTGCTTCCGATATTTATTAAATCTATTCGAAAAATTCTTAAATCTCTTAGAAGCTATGATAGGAGTCTTCGAACACGCCGGCTTTGATCAAAACTTGTAGGAAAGGATATTTAGATATTTTGAAAACTCACATTTACCATTTTATCTAACTTCGGTTCCTATGAAAATTCTAAAAATTGCATTTTGGAAGACAAGAAAAGGATGACAGCTCTTCTACAGCTCAAGCCATAAATCTTCCAATATTTTAATGGCTCTTTAAGGTAATTTAAGTATAAAAATCATGTACAGTTTAGACAGTAATAACTTTCAGAATTTTTTTCAAAGAAAGTTGTCAAACGGGCTAAAACTAGCAACTTCATATATTAAAACCTACATATTATTAACTGAATGATTGTTCCACCATGCAAAAATGATGCAATAAGTTCTGGTGAGAAGTGTTATTAATGAATAGAAGATATAATGCTCAAGATTAGTGATAACTGGACTAGATATGAGCCTTAATATTTTATAACCATACTCAAGTAGAGTGGTCAAACCCTATTTATGCTTTATTAGTGAGACTTTTAAATTTTAAGTGATGATTTGATCAGCTTGGAGGATCCAATTAATTAAGAAACTGATGTAAGATATATTATTCTCGAGTGATAAAAAGCTACACAACAGTTCTATCTCCAATACGAAGTTTATAGCACATCTTGGATATAAAATACTCTATAAGATGCTAAAAAAAGTTCTATCCCAAGATTTGACCTTAATAACTACCATTCATAATCAAACACCTGACAAAAAATACTACCAACCCCCTCTCCACACCAAAATCCCCCACAAATCCCCTCTCTCACCAATCCTCCCCCACTTCCCCCCCTCTCACTCATCCCAACCCCTCTAAACCTTCCAAATCCACAATCTCCCCCCTAACCCCCCATCACCCACCACAAACCTCTCTCTGGGCTCTCCCAAACGCCTTATCTCTAACTTAACTTCTAAAGTAAATGGCTGGCTCGTTGCTTAAGCAAGGAGGCTTACTTTTAGTCCAGAGAGTTTGTTCGTGTGGAGAGATGTTTTGAGATTGGGGTGGAATTTGAGAATGTTTGGAATAGTGGTTAAAGAAGGATTGTTAGGTGTAATAGAGAGTGTAGAGAATTTGTAAAATTTGACATAAAATGAACAAAAATTAAGTTTCTTTCAACCCCTACATTTAAATACACAATCATAGCATAAAACCGACTTTTATCACCTTTTTAATTTCTTTAACCCCTTAAAACATCCTTCCTAACCCATCTCAGTCCCCTTCCCATACCCTCCCTTAACCCATCCTACTCCCTCACCCCCATTCATTTCTTACCTTTTGAGTAATCTTCTCCATTCCCAACACAACCGTAACTTAATTAAAAATATATAATCTTCCCAAAAAAATTCAACTCGCCTTATATTGGTTGGGGTTTTGGGGTTTTGGGGTTTTGGGGTTTTGGGG